CCTGCAGCGCGAGAAAGTCGTCGAGGTGGTTGGCAAACGTCTTTTGCGACTGTAATATCTTGCGCACATTGGCCGTGCGTTTTCCCTGTGCTGTGTTCCCCGCCATCTATTAGCAAAGATCCCTCCCGATTTCTGTAACAAGGTGGAAAGCTTGGGGGAGGGAGGGGGGCATACTCCGGCCGCTCTTCCCTGGTAGCGGAATGGTAGGGTCACGCCCGCCGTCGCGGTCCAGCGCCTCGAGTTCCTTGCGCATCTTATTCTCCTGCCGCGCCGTCAGGTCGCTGAGCGAGAGGCCGCCGCCGGGGGCGTTGCGCGCGCGTTTGCGGTTCATCGTCGTCGTCGTGGATTGCTGCGCGGCGAGGCGCGTGTCGGGGACGTACGCCCAGCCGGGCGCCGAGGTCGTCTTAGCCCCGGCGAGCTCGATGACGCCAAAATCGTTCATCTTGTCTGGAGATTTCAATCTTGCATGTTTTGTTTTTCTGTTTGTGCTTGTCCCGAGTTGGGGAGCTACCGGTCGCGTGTCTGTTGGGTTGGCAGGAGATGGTGTGAGTTGCGGAAGCGTCCGCCACCCAGAAAAACGTCAGCAAAAGCAACTGTGGAGAGCTTGCCCAAGCCGAAGCCTCCAATCATGTTCGTTGCCACCTCACCCCAAACCTGCCGAGAACCCCCAGGATCCCTCCTCCCAATTGCCCAATTGCAAACAAAACTCGCCGCCACAAACCGTCGCCACCTCCTCTCGTGTCGAAATCGCCTCACCATCACAGCCGTCCCAAGCATCATGTACAGCACCGCATCCAGAGTGCTGATGGGCCGCGCCGCCCTAGCCGGCCGCGGCTTCCACACCAGCGCACGCCGCATGGCCGACGCCGCTCCTCTCGTCGCCAAGAAGCCCATGGGCGCATTCCGAGGCGGGTGCGTCATCCCATTGTCGCGTCATGGAAACCCCAAGCTCAATAGACTAACGTATCGGTAGCCTCTTTGGCTTCCTCCTCGGATGCACCGTTGCCGGCAGCAGCGTCTACACCTACCTCGTGCAAGAGTACAAGACCTCCAACGACCTGCTCAGCGAGGACATTTATGTTTGTCGACCTCGAGGCATTGGATTCTGATGGATGGCTGACATGATGATAGACACTTCAAGCTTCCGTCACCCGATTGACCAACTACGTCAAGAATCTTGAGCAAATAGCACAGGAAAAGAAGAAATAAAGAGCGCAGCCGGGACAACGCGGGGACACGAGCACGCTGCCACCAGACAGTTTCAATCACGATGTACTGTAATCAAGTAACGCAACTGTATAACATTACCGGAGAATACACAAAGCTTCACCATAACAGCGATGGTCGCATAATCCAGTGCAGTCGAATTGGAGTACATGATCTATTTTGATCCTCAAAGTGAATTAACTCGCAGAAAACTATAAATCATCGGTGCAACTGCGGCAACCGTGTAGTAACAAAAAAAAATTCGTAAACATTCCCAATTTTAAGATTCACAAATACATGACGTTTACAGCTCATCGTGGTCCTCGTCCTCGTCTTCGTCAGCCTCCTTCTCCTTCTCCGTCTCCTTGGAAGCAGCAGGGGCCGCCTCCTCCTCAGTAGCCTCCTCCTTGAGGGTGACAGAGGCCTTGTGCTTGCCGTTCTCCTTGATGAACTCGATGAGGTCCTCGGGTGTGCGGGCGCCGTTGTAGGTGACGGGGTTCTTCTTATCACCGGCGACGTAAAGCTTGATGGTGGGGAAGCCCGAGATGTCATCAGGGACGTCGTTGAGGGTGGCGTCGACCTTGGCGATGGTGACCTTGTCCTTGAACTCGGACTCCTTAAAGGCAGCGCCGAGCAGGTCGTACTTGGGGGCCAGGGCCTTGCAGTGACCACACCAGGGGGCGTAGAACTCGACGAGGACGTCCTTCTTGTCGTCGAGGACAATCTCATCGTAGTTCTTGGCAACGATGATGGTGACGGGGCCGTCCTGAGACTCGGGAATGGGCTCCGACTTGATGCTGGGCTCAACCTTGCCGGCAACGTAGTCGTCGACAAACTTGGCAATGTTCTTCTCGGTAATCTCCTTCTCCTGGTCAAAGGGGAACTTCTTGTTGCCCTCAATGTCCTGGATGGCAAAGGCGGGGAACTTGTCCGTCTTGAGGTTCAGGTTGCCGGCGTGAGCGCCGAAAGCCTTGGCATCAATGGTGCCAAAGTTGACCTTGCCCTTGTGCTTCTCAGCGACGGCCTTGAGGGTCTTGGTGAGCTCGGCGCGCTCCTCCTCCGTCTCAGCGAAGACGTAGGCAAGGGGGAGGCCGGCGGACATGTAGCCGGCGTAGGTCTCGGGGCCAATCTCGCCAATGAGAGGGGTGGCGGCGACCTTGGCAAACTCCTCAATGGCCTGGGCCTCGAACTTCTTGCCCTTGAAGATGGTCTTGCCCTCGTCGAAGCTCTTGTAGACAACGACGGCAGGGGCCTTGACACCCTCGGCCTCGGCGACGGCGGCGTCAGCGACGGTACCAAAGAGGTAGTCGTTGCGGAACTTTTCGGCGACCGTCTTGAAGACGTCGGCCGAGGTCTTGTCGTCCTCGGCGACGTACGAGACGACGACGACCTTGTCGGCCGTCTTGAAGTCCTCGAGGGTATCCTTCTCGAGGGCGGAGACGGCGGGGAGGGACTGCTTGACCATGTACGAGGTGATGGCAGCGGCCTTGCGCTGGCCACCGTAGGGAGAGACGTTGTCGAGGCCGCGGAAGACCTTGAGGGTGGGGTAGCCCTCGACGCCGTGGGCCTGGCAGAGTTCAGCCTCCTCTGTGCAGTCAATCTTGGCGAGCTTGATCTTCTTGTCCTTTAGGGTGGTGGCAGCCTCCTCATACTCGGGGGCGAGGGCCTTGCAGTGGCCGCACCAGGGAGCAAAGACTGGACGTCTATGTTAGCTGCGTGTTGGGACAGGGCATTGACATTGACGCCAATAGATGGTTTGGAAGCGACTTACACTCGGCGAGGACCAGGTCATTGGCCTTGACGAAGTCGTCAAAAGTCTTGCCGGTGAGGGTGGTGACGTCGGACTCGTCGGCGGCGGTGACGAGGCTGGCAAAGGCGGCAAAGAGGCCGAGGCAAATGCGCTTGTGCTGCATCTTGATGTGAATGTGTGTATGTGGTGTGAGGATGCTTGTGGGTATAAGAAGAATGTACAGATGGGCGACACTGAAATTGAGCTTCAGATGTTGCGTGGCGAGGAAGAAAAGAAGGTTGGATCTTGGGGATGTTCTGGTAATGTACTGGTATGGGCAGGGCGTTGGGGGGGGAGGTTGGCAGTCGACAATGTGGGGAGCTGGACGAGGCGTCAATTGAACAAGTGTCCCTTTCCACTGGGCGATGGGATCAGCCAAAAAAGAAAACCGTGCTAGGGGACCTGAGTTGAAGGGAGGGGCGAGCGCTGCCAGGCTTTGTCGCCTTGGAGTACAGCTGGTGTACCTTCCAGAGTGCTAAGCGGCAGGGGGTGTGGCGGGCTCGATCGCTAACAGATGTACTGAAGGCAGCACCGGCGCGTTGAAGCCTCCAGGCTGACAAACAGAAGGCAAAGGCCAAAAAGTCAGCGGGGCCCGCTAAAGATGTGCTCTTGGCAGGCTCTCCTCGCCACACCCACCAGCGCGCGACCGTCTTCCCGCGACCCGGCACTGACACACAGGTACCTGGCCAATCGTGCATCCTCCGTGCCTTTTACAGGTACCTGCCCGTCCCACCAACCTCCACTGACAAATCCAAGGCTGACCAGTGACGGCAATGTCGTCAGGTTGTACCTTTGTTTCGAGTTGAGAGATGGACAGATTTTCCCGTCTAATGTCGTCCTTTGTTTGTTTTAGTGCCAAAGTAAAAAAAGAATCCAGAATAAGCGCCCGTACGTCAACCCAAGTAATTTAGGCCTCACCATCACAATTCTAGTACAAAGCCGGTCTCGGCTCTACTCGCATTTCAGCTTCCGCTCCCATATGAACCACTTGCTGCGAGCTGATTCACTCGGCATCCTGCGCGCCAATACGGCGTGCGTGTGGATCTCGGATAGTCGTCCTGCGATATCTGGCCACAACGAGACGCCATGATTCGGTCGGGTCATAGTACAGCAAACGGCGTAGTATTGGCCCCCAGCCCGCAGGGTGTTCCTTTATGCATAGTCTTTTGATCTACTCTTGCCATCATGTATACCGTGTCTTCTTGTCACGTCCTGTAGGTAGTGTTGGGGGCGATCAGTAGCTTCAGCTCTCAGCCGCAGTATGCATCAACTGCACCGTCAAACTCCCAACAACAAACACATGTACTTGTAAATTCAAGAGCAAAAGCAAGCGCCAATCCAGAGTCATCATTTATTCGCATACGTCTATTCGAACCATCAATGCCATGCACGCCGATCCGCCGCGAACCACCCACCAACCACCAGTCCAGGGTACGACGCCGTTTCAAAAGTGGCGCTCAAAGCTCACCGGTGGCCCGGCGCGGTGATACTGGTTCGGCCACTTGGCCTTGACCTTGACCTCGTGCGCGGCGCGGAGCACCCACTCGGGCTCGCGCAGAAACTGCCGCGCCAGCAGCGCAAAGTCGCCCGCCTGCCGCGGGCCGCCCTCCTGCACCAGGTCCGCCGCCGTCTGCCCGTCCGTGATGAAGCCGACGGTGCCGACCAGCAGCGGCAGCTTCTCCGCCGTCACCGCCTCGCGCACCGCCCGCGCCAGCTCCGACTGGAAGCGCTTGTTGTCGTGCGGGATCTGCTGCGCCGCATTGTTGCCGCCGCTGCTGACGTCGAGCACGTCGACGCCCAGCGCCGGCAGCTCCCTCGCCAGCCGGATCGTGCTCGCCAGGTCCCACGACGGCTGCCCGGACGACTCCATCCACTCGGTGCCGGATACGCGCACCCACAGCGGCATCGTCTCGGGGATGACGCCCCGCACGGCGCCAATCACCTCCTTGAGCAGCCGCGTGCGGTTCTCGAAGCTGCCGCCGTAGTCGTCGGTGCGTTTCTGCAACACCTGTCAGAACATGTCCCGCTTGCCTGTGAAAAAAGAAAACAAAAGAAAAGGTTGGGACTTACGTTGCTCAGTGGCGATAGCGAGCTGCTCAGAAGGTAGCCATGCGCCGCGTGAATCTCAATGGTATCAAAACCGGCCGTCACCGCGCGCCTGGCCGTGTCCGCAAACGCCTTTACCAGACCCTTGATCTCGGCCACCGTGAGCTCCTTGGGCGCGGCGTGGTCGTCGGCAAACGGGATCGGGCTGACGCTCACGACGTCGTCGGCCCAGCCGTTGGCGTCCTTGTCCGCCAGGGTCTTGTTGGCTGTGCCGCCGAGCCACGGGGCGAGGGTGCTCGCCTTGCGGCCGGCGTGGCCAATCTGGATGCCAATCTTTGCGTTTTGGCTGTGGGCAAAGTCGACGATGCGGCGGAGCGGCGCAATCTGCGAGTCCTGCCACAGGCCGCTGTCCTCGGGGCTGATGCGCCCGCGCGGCTCGACGGCCGTGGCCTCGACGAAGAGGAGCCCGGCGCCGTGCAGCGCCAGCTGGCCGAGGTGCACCAGGTGGTAGTCGGTCAGGTGGCCGTCGTCGGCGCTGTACTGGCACATGGGCGACACGACGACGCGGTTCTGCTGCGTGAGCCCGCGCACCCGGATCGGCTGGAAGAGGGAGGGCGTCGCGGCCGAGTTGGCTTCCGCGGAGCCGATGGCGGGCTCCTGCGCGGGCGTGTAAAAGGGCACGCCGGGGGCGGCCTTGTTGACGGTGCTGTACGAGCCCATGGCTGCGGTTGCGTGTTGGTGGCGGTGATGTAGGTGTCGTAGGAGTCGGACAAGGAGCGGGTGGACCAAGTGTAGAGTCACAGGACGATGTCACGAAGCCAATGCAGTGAGGGGAGAAAGAAGACTGAGGTTGATAGAGAGAAACCTAGCTGGTAAGCTGTCTACTAAAAGATGGGAGGTTGGCCCTCCTTATATACTCGGTAGGCTTGTCCCGGCCAGTAGTGGCATCCATCCATGCGTCGAGGCAACTGCTTACCCTCGTTGGGGCTGGTGGGTAATTGGCCAAGCATTCTTAGGGTGATGCGATAGTAGGGATCGCAGGCCTGCTTGTGGCTGCCAGGCATTGTACAACCAACCAGAAAGTTTCGCGGCATTCGGGATAGAGGGGCAACCACGATTTCTATTGCGTGATGGTGCCTATCTACGCCAATGGTAAGCTTCCAGAAGCTCCAATTGCGCGCGAACAACGCCGGAAATAAACGAAAAAGTTTTTTTCTCGGGAGAGGGAAAAGACGCTTAAATTGCTGAATAATGGTAGAATTAGAAAGAAAACACAGCCGCTCCAATATCAATCCGCTTGGCTTCTGCAGCAAGACTTGAGCTAACTCTGATGATCGGCACGTTGTATTTATCAGCATGGCGGGGCCGCGCCAAAAAACGAACAGGCAAGGCGGGGACGGAATTCGCCAGACGGACGTCGCAAAGCTCCGTTGACCAACGATGGAGGATGAGAATTCCTCGATCTGCTTCTTGCAAAACGGCTGTCACGATGTGTTGCCGATCCCCTCGCCCGTTTTGTGCCGCACGCACCGGCTGCTAGCAGACGATTGCTGGCAACGTTTCAACTACGTCACCGCATGCCAGGAGCCAGTTGAATCAAAAACATCTTCAACAAAATTCAAAATCGTACATGGACGAAGAAAAAAAGGCCTGTCGGCTCTGCTCTCTAACATAACAAAAACAGCCACTCGGGCTGGGGTAGACCAGTCTGGCCGTCGTCTATCGTCTAAATTTCTATGTCTACAGATCCTCCCTCTACCGGACACTTGTTGCCCCCCCTCTATTTGCTCTCATCCCAGGTAGGCTTCAAGATCCAGCGCTGCGACTCGCTGCCGGCAGGAAAAGGGACGCCGAGCTCGAAAAGTCGCAGGATGACGGCGGAGAAGTCCTTGAAGAACTCGTCGTTGCTCTTGGCGTAGCGCTCGACGTGCTGGCGGAAAGCCTTGTCCTGAACCAGCGCCATATCGGTGGGCAGCATCATGAGGCTCTTGGTGCTCTTATCCTCGTACTGATTTTTTTCGTGTTAGTTTCACCTCCTTCAATCACTCCAAAAAGAATCGCCACATACCTGCTTGGGACCATCCCACTTCTTCCAATCCCACTTCTGCTCGAGAAGCAGCGTGTAAAAGTCATTGGTCATGACGGTCGGGGAAAAGGTCCAGGGGCCGTCAAAGCCGGAGCGGTCGCGGTGGCAGCGACCGAGGGCGTGCGCGCCAGACAGCGCGACAATCTCCTGGTCGTTGAAGCCCATGCGGTAGAAAATGCTGCGGAGGTGGTCGCTGCCCTGGGTGGCGTCGGGAAGGCGGCCATCCGGCGTGCAGGCGGCAATGTCACGGTCGGCGCGGCCCGGGCGGTATGGCACAATCGGCCCCTGCATCTCCTGGATGGCGGCAACGCCACCGAGGATCCAGAGGTCCGAGTAGGTGATCCACGGGAACTGGGCCTTGATAGGGTCCAGGAAATCACGAGCTGCAATCAGGCCGGCGTTGGCGCCGTGGCTCGACTCCGGCTGGAAGCGCATCGTCGCGCCGTTGCTGCCGCCCGTGCCCGTCTCCTTGTCGTACGTGCCCGACGCGTGCCAGGCAAGGCGCACCAGCACGGGACCGAAGCTGCCGTCGTCGTAGTCGTCCTTTTCCTCGAGTCGCGACGCAATCGCATTGTACACGGCCTGGTAGTCGGCCTGCGTCGGGTTGGTGAGCTTGCTGCCAGAGGCAGAGTTGTTGGCGTAGAACCAGTAGCCGAGACCGCCGGCGGCGGCCGCGCCGCCCAGGTAGAGAAGGCTGGCAGAGGACGACTTCTTGGGCGCCTCCGAGGAGTAGAAGCGGCGGCCGCTGCGAAGGGCCTGCCGGGGCACGACCGAGGCAAAGGTGTTGCGGGTCGCGACGCGGGCGAATTGACGGGAAAAGGAAGCCATCTTGACAACACCGAGGGTCAGCGGATGTGTGTGGAAGGATAGGGAAATGTGAGAGGGCAGACAGCGTTTGCGCAAGCGTTGGCAAGGTGAGAGCTTATATAAAGCGAAATGGCGTGCTTGCGCTCGGTGTTGGCTCGGGAAGGGCCAGGACGGAATTGGCTTTAAAACTGAAATGAAGTGAACTTACCTTGATGCTATAATTGACAGAGTTTTGCAAATAAATGTAAAAAAAAGAAGAAACAAAGTGGCGACGGTTGTGGGGGAAGGAAGCTGAGAAATAGAAAGCAGAAGAAAGGGCGTGATGGAGCTCTTCCCCCCAAGAAGGATCCCTGCGCCACCCGTGTTTGGCAGAGCCGAGGACACCAGGTTATTTTTTCCCTCCTGATAACAGAAAAGAACCCTTTCAGAATGGAAATTGCCACCTTCTGAGTGGTTCAGCATGGCGGGTCAGGGCGGGTCAGATTGTGAGGCAAGAGGCAAGAGAAGGCGTGAGAAAATGGGTCGATGTGGAACGTGGGAAGCCGAGCGAGGAACATGGATCCGGTTGGTCTGAACGAGGTCCAACGGAACTTGTGACTGGGGAGGAATCCGTAACGTTATGTAGGTAGTTATTAGTTAGTTATTTACTGACTGCCTGGTCGTCTCGCCGGCTTCAAAAACCCCCATGATGCCACATTACTCCCTCCCTCGTTGGCCGTGTTGTTCGCTGTCGGTTGTTCCTGATAAGCCCACCTTGAGCGCCACGGCCGGTCTCCGATGGGACTGAGCCGGAATCGGGACATCTCAAAAAACGCCCTAACGTTAACTAGGCGGACCCGTGAATCGCCGCATACCAAATAGCCGGCCCAGTGCACTCTTTTTTTTACCCGCCCTCACAAGCTAGTTCACTCGTTGTTTGACTCGCTTTCCACGTCACATGTAAGACGCTCATGATTCAATTCTTCACTCGCACCTCACCAGCCCCGAATAAAACCCAACGTAAACGTACATATTACTCAAATTGCTACCTACCTATTTGCATAGTCCAAACACTATAGCCGCCCTGCTTTCCCTGGCCACGCCGGGCCTGCTCAGCTACAGCCATAACGCCAACGTACATGCCCTTCTTCTCGCAATTTTCTGGTATACCAACTCATATAGCAAGATTCATACACGCTTTGCTCAATTGAAATCCGCCGTCCCCTGCGCGTCACCCAGCGGTTCAAAATGCGTCTCATAAAACTTGAGCCACAGCGTCTCGGCCTTGCGCCGGCTCACCTCGTCCAGCTCCCCCGCCGCCGGCTGCAGTGATGCTTCCGTGCCATTCTGCTTGGCCAACTGCGACGACACAGACGCCGAGACCTTGCCGGCCACCGATACAGGGCCAAACATGACCCGGTCAACCTCGAGGAATCGCTTCATCGCGTCCGAACCGCCCCGCTGCACCAGGTAGCTCATGTACGCCTGCGTCAGCTCCTTCTTAGACGCCGCCGACAACCGGCTCTTGCAGCGGAGCTCCTCAAAGATGTGCTGCACCCGCGTCGCCTGGTCCGGCGCGCTCTGCCCGTCGGCCCCCTGCTGCCCGAGCTCAAACTCGAACCACTTGTCCCAAAAGTGCCGGCTATCCGCGTACCACTGCACGTTCTTGACGTAAATGGCGCGCGCGTCCTCTGCGGACCCCTTGCCGCGCCACACCAGAAGCGCCCACTCAGCCACCAGCGCCGCCTTGGTATACAGGTCCACCGTCGGCGCATCAATCTGGTCCTTGTACACTTGAATCGCGGCGTCGACGCCGTTTTGCCGGCGCTCCATGTTGGCCCATGACACAATCACCTCGATGCAGTCCTGCAGCTTCATCAGGATGGCCTCGTGAATAGCAACCGCGACGCCCACCCGGCCAGTGCTCTCTTCAAAGTAAGCCCACTGCAGACGGATGCCTGGCCGACTCACTGGCACGAACATGGTAGCCGCACGTATAAAAATGTTTCTCGTCTCCGACTCCTTTTCGTCTTGTGCAGACATCCATCTTGTGTAGCGAAACCAAAATTCATCGTAGAACGCGCAAGTTGTTAGACAGCGCTCGTAGAGGCACACGATGCGGCTGTAATCGCCTTCAGCCTCCTCAAAGTCGAGATATTTTCGCCAGTTGCTTAACTGAGCATGATCTAGCTCTGTAACGTGAAAGTACGGCCGCTTGATCTCTGACTCGTATGTCCAACGCTTTGAAACTTCATTCTGCGTAGATTGAAACACTTCAAAGTACATACCGTCCATCTTGGCCCGCACATCACGCTCCACTTCAAGCTCTGGCCGTTGACCAGGCGATTCGGCGGCAATCTCGGCCTGAAACTTGGCCAGTGTCTCTGCATCCACTACCTCGGTCAGCGGCCTTGTGTGGGCGAGCGCTCTGAAGCGCTCATAGTAGCGTGCGTACTGGTGCATCGGAATGCGGACAATGCGGGCCAGCAGCGCGAAAACGCGATCTTGCGCCTCCTGCCTCTCCTCATACTCAATGTACTTGTCCCAAAAGGGGTGAGCCAAAAAGTCTAGCCCAACAAATGAGGCTCCCCGCTCGAGCAGTCTGTCATGCTTGTTAGCTGTCATCTAGTAGGGCGGATATGAAAGGGATGTGGGAGTGAGGGTAAATACAAGGGTCATGATAAGATGGTATCCAGCCTAGGTCTGGGCATCCAGCGAGGGAAGTGATGCTAGGCATCGGGTTGACCATTTCTAAACCGGGGAAGGAGGCAAGTTGCGGTCAAAGACATGTTCACTGGCAGAGCGTAAGGGAGCATCCAGAAAGTTGGGGAGCACTGGATATCTCACCAGACTGCAGGGGCAGGGTCTGTCAAGGCTCGAGGCCGCGGATCGATGCGCAAGCGCAAGCGCGTCCTGCGTTGAGTGATATGTTGGCGGGGAAAAGGACGATCAACTTACTCTCTGACGACATGTGGATCGTGAGTCGTTTCCATGGTGAAGGAGCAGTAGTCCGTCCACAAGTCGACAGAATTGGTGATGCTGGCGCATCCTTTTTCGTACACCTACGGCAGGGCGGTTAGCTGCAGGTTTCTGCCACTTCCGGGGTTAAGACATACCATCTGTGCAGATTCGGGTCCTGCGATGTTGAATTCGAGGTCGGCGTATTTCTTCCAGTAGCCAAAAAGGAGAGGAAATTTGGAGAGGAATCGGTTGTAGGCGTCGCGAAACGTGGCGAGCGCCTGGGGGCTGGAATTGCGGTTCAGACCACCGTCGAGCGTTTCGCACGCCTTGATGAGGTTCTCCCAGTTTTCGAAGCTGTCCGAGTCGGCCTCCTGCACACATCACAATTAGTCCTTATGTAAAATACCCCACGCAGCGTTTTGGCCAGTTACATACCACCAAGGCGTTGTGCTTGCGCACTGAGGCGTACTCCTCGTCGGAGCCGCCATAAGAACCAAAGTCGCTCATGGCCTATTATAATATCGGTCGCGAAAGAGATGCGCAACTAGTGGATAAGATGGTGGTAGGCGGCATACGCGAGTGATGATGTTTCGAGAAGTGAGAAGCAGTGAAGCCGAATTTTGGCTACGCGGCTGGAGAATCTTAATCTTTGAATGACCGACCACGCGATGCCAAGGTATCCGCTCGGCGCAAAACGCGTGCAAGGTACCTCAGGCCCACACTAGGCAAATTGAACTGACATTAGGTAAGCAGGAGCTGGCTCGTGTATTTTATCTGAATTGTGGCACGCAGTATTTTTTCCGGCTCTTCATCCTAAAAATGGCTGGTGATGATTCCTTACAAAAATCATATGATAGGAAGAGGATGAACGCTCTCCAATGGAGAGCATGATCTCATTGTCGAATCTGAAGTCATATTATTGCTATATTTTCTATTTTTCAGCACCTGCTCGACTGGTCTGCTGCGGTGCTGGGAAGAGCATTATCGACGCAAGCTGTTCAAGTGTATGGCTTGGCCGCTCGATAATAGTTAGAACATTAGGATAGAAGGGCGGAACATACTTTTTAAAGCTTCCAAGCAAGGCTTTGCCCTGCTCTTGTTGGGCTGTTTTCCAGTTCGGTCGCATTTGCCAACAAACGCAGCATTTCAGGCCTCCCACCTATAGAAGAGAATACCAAAAGAAATAGTCACATAAGAACAGAAGAAAGAAGACAAAGAGAACCACCAAGAATCTTCACAAGAGCTTACATGTCCACGTGGCTTGTGAAAGACCAACATGAAAGCTATGTATGAAGGGATGTTGGTGCCAAAATTTGTACCACATCCCACCGACGTCATCTACCACCGGCTCCATCCTGCATCAACACCCATCAAACATGCGCAGCGCCTAAACCTCGTCGCCCTCTCCGAGCAGCAGTCCCTCGGCGTGCGTTGCCGCGCCCTCCCCGAACCATGGACAACCAGTGGACTTCGCAGCCGCTGTCGCCGGAAAAGTCGTGCGAGCTCTACATCCGCGACCACCCGTCGCGCGCCATCGCCATCGTCTCGTCGACGCACGCCCTCGTGCTGCGGTACAGCGGCTCGGCCGGCGACGTCGCCCCCAATGGCTCCTACACATCACTGCCGGCCACCAACAAGGCCGCCGCCGCCAAGTGCATGGTCGAGTTTGCGCCCCTCACCCCGACGCTGCTGAGGGACTATCGCCCGCTCACCCACCGGCCCATCTACGGCACCCTCGGCCTGATGACCGCCAACAACGAGGTCTTCCTGTCCGTCATCACCCACGCGACGCGCACGGCGACCGTGCGGCCGGGCGAGACGGTCGAGAAGATTGTCAGCGTGGCCTTTTACTGCCTAAGCACCGACGAGTACGATGATGTGGTGCCTCTCGAATCATACGAAACCGAACCATCCGATGCTTCCTCGGCATATAGCTCTCAGACCTATGGTCAGAGCCTCAGCCACCGCGATGTGGTCCTCGAACATCCTTGTCATGAGCTGCGCAAGATTTTGAGTAATGGCTCGTTCTACTATAGCACCGATTTCGACGTGACGAATCGACTTCAAGAGCGCCCGATCAACGCGGACTCGTTCCATATTGACAGCTTCAACGACATGTATCTGTGGAACTCGTTCATGATTAGTCCCTTGGTTCAGTTTCGTTCGCGGCTGCTGCCGCATGAACGGGAAGCGCTGGACGAGTCCCGTATCCTAACGTCTGCCATTCGTGGATTTTGCAAGACCATGACAATCCCTCAGAGCGCCTCGCCGCTGAAAGGCAACAGCGGTCGGGCGTCGTATTTAACACTCATCTCTCGATTATCCTGTCGCCGAGCTGGTACTCGCTTCAATTCTCGTGGTATCGATGATGACGGGCACGTGGCCAACTTTGTCGAGTCGGAAACCATCTTCTGGAGTGCCACGGGCACCGTCTTCTCCTACGTCCAGATCCGCGGCTCGATTCCTGTCTTCTGGGAGCAGGCGGCCGACCTGATACCTGGGCGACAGAAGCTCACCATCACAAGACCGGCAGATGCGACACAGCCTGCTTTTAACAAGCATTTTGAAGAGCTGGAAACCATGTACAGTGCGGTGCATATAGTCAACCTGCTGAGCGATACGAAGCCTGGTGAAGTCGAGCTGAGTAATGCTTACAAGACTGGCATCAAGTACTGCCCACTGAGTCGCGCCCGTCCAGGCGGCGGAACAGACGACCATGCCATGTTGCGACAAACGCACTACGATTTTCATGCCGAGACCAAGGGCCCGGGCGGGTACGAAGCAGCGCGGGATATTCGTCGTTATATCGAGCATTCCATTGATGGGTTCGCCTACTTTTTGGCCGAGGAAGCCGAAGACGACAAGCGACTGCGCAGCAAGGACACGAGAATGATTGTCGTTTTGCAGCAAGAAGGCGTCTTTCGCACAAACTGCCTCGACTGCCTGGACCGGACTAATCTAATTCAGACGCTGATCTCGCAAATGGCAGCAGAGGCGTTTCTCGGCCACCGCGGCGTATATGCCGCCTCCGATTTCTGGATGCGCCACTCCACGCTCTGGGCCGACAATGGTGACTCGCTATCCAAAATCTACGCTGGCACGGGAGCGCTCAAGTCGTCGTTTACGCGGCACGGCAAGATGTCGCTGGCCGGTGCCGTAGCGGACATGCGAAAGTCGGTGCAGCGACTCTACCACAACAACTTTGTCGACCCCTCGCGGCAAATCACCATTGACATGCTGCTGGGTCGGCTGATTGGACAAGCACCAGTACACCTCTTTGATCCCATCACCGACTTTATCTCAGCAGAACTTGGCAAGCGTAGCGATGAATATACATCATTTGCCAATATCAACTTGTGGGTGGGCACGTTTAACCTCAACGGCAAGACGGAAGGCATCGGCCAGGACTTGTCACCGTGGCTGTTCCCACCCGGGATCGGCGAGGAGCTACCTGATATCTACGTAGTGGCGTTTCAGGAAATTGTCGAGCTCAGCCCGCAGCAGATTATGAACAGTGACCCATCGCGCAAGTTCCTCTGGGAGCAGGCTGTCAAGAATGCGCTCAACGAGCGGCAGGACCGGACCGGGGGCGAGTCGTACGTCCTTTTACGCAGCGGACAGCTAGTTGGCGCGGCGTTGTGTATCTTTGTCAAGGCATCAAGCCTGCCCAACATCAAGAATGTCGAGGGTAGTGTCAAGAAGACGGGCATGTCTGGGATGGCAGGCAACAAGGGCGCGGTGGCGATCCGGCTCGATTATGCAAACACGCACATTTGTTTTGTGACGGCACATTTGGCGGCTGGCTTTGCAAACTATGACGAAAGAAATCGAGATTATGCGACTATTCACCAGGGGTTGCGATTTCAGCGAAATCGTGGCATCGACGATCATGGTATGTCTGACGTTGCTAGGACAGGTCCCCAAGCTGACAATTGTAGATGCCATTGTGTGGCTCGGCGACTTCAACTATCGTATTGGACTCGGTTCTGAGATTGCCCGTACGCTCGTGCAGCAACAAAACCTGCCAAAGCTGTACGAAAACGATCAATTGAATCTGCAAATGGTTGCCGGGCTGGCATTCCCGTTTTATTCGGAAGCACGCATCAACTTTATGCCTACGTATAAGTTTGACGTTGGGACCGATACATATGACAGCTCGTACGTCACCCCCTACTCTCTACGCATCACATCTAACAGTCTACAGTGAAAAGGCAAGAATCCCAGCGTGGACGGACCGGATTCTCAAACGGGGCCAGAACCTGCGGCAGCTCAGCTACAACTCGGCGCCGCTGCGCTTTTCCGACCACCGTCCGGTGTACGGCACGTTCTCGTGCACCGTCAGCATCGTAGACGAGCGGCGGCGCGAGGCCATGAGTGCCGCGCTATACGAGCGGCGGAAGGCGGAGCTCGAGGACACGGGCGGCGACGTGTTGTTGGGGGGCGATCTAGACACGGATGATGAGGACCTGATTGGGTTCGACCCACTAGAGCCTGGGCTGCCGGCGGCCAGCTCGGACCGGCAAAAGTGGTGGCTGGAGGGCCGGCAGACGGCGCGGGCGCAGATTGCCATCCCGACGGACCGCCATGGGCAGGCCATGAGCCTCAACCCGCAGCGGCCATCGAACCCGTTCCCCGCGAGCGACGAGCCCGACTGGGTGTCGGTGTCGCCGGGGCAGGTGACAAGCAGCCTGTCGAGCTCGCCGTACGAAAAGGTGCCGATGCCACCGCCGTCGCGCACCCTGCCGAGCGCGTCATCGTCGAGGCGCATGGTGCCACCGACAGCGGACGCGAGCAGACTACCCGCGCAGCTTGGTAGATTGACCATGGCAGACGATGAACTCTCCATGTCATCGCGGCCAAGCACCGACTCGGAGCGACAACAACAGCCGCCTCCTCCACCGCCACCGCGTCGACGCGTAGTGGGACAGCAGCAGCAGCAGCCACCCGCGACACCAACGCCGTCGTCGCGGCCAGAGTCGTCCGCCTCGCAGCGGTCACTGGCTAGTAGTAAGCCACCGATTGCGAGGAAACCGGCGCACCTCACGGGGGGGTCGTCCCCGGTGGCGGCGCGGAGTCGGACGCTACCGCAACAGCAGCCGCCGTTGCCTGCTAGGGGTGAAGCATCGCGGAAGCCAGCGTCGCCGCCTACAGAGTCGTTGATATAAAGGGACAAGGGAAGGGAAAAAGATGTAGAGATATAAAGCTGAGAATTACGAGTGATATATTGATAGCTGAATACAAAAACCATCATTGGCGGCACCTTGCTGGTTTCCCGAACCTCGCGCCGCCTAAGCGAAAAAGCAGGACAGATAACACACCTTTTTTCCTGTGCCTGGTAATTACAATCTCGATGAGCGATTTGCAAATACTACGGATGGCTGCAACACGTCCAATATCGTTGTGCCCGTTTCCATCAAAAGACGCCACATCATATGGGATTCTCCGGGCAGCGCAGCCGAAGCGGGGGAAGCTGCGTAGAAAAAAGTGGGCAAAAGTCACATTGGTTTTTTTTACGCAAGCTCTTCTGCCGTCTCTTGGCTGCATCGTCTTGAGTTGGCAATCTACGGTATCTAATCGCGTGCCTCCCCATGTTCAAACGCCACCCACACGCTCCAATCCGTGCTGAGCCAGCCGTCCCAGCCATCAGAGTGCATTGGGGCCCAGGGTCGCAATGAATCTATCTGTTCATGGTCACTGTAAGGAGTACATTGCCTGGCAACCCATCTGCTCGCCATCGACAAAACGAGGTGGGTGGGTTTCGTCCTTTTTTTTGACGCAGTGTGATGGATGGGCGGCTTGCCACTCTCTCGCTTCACCTTGCTTCTCACGCCACCCCAAGGTGCGCTGTCTTGACTAAAAAATGCCGTGACTTTTTTTTCTTCCTTGTCTGCCCCCATGTCCCTCGCTTCCCCTTCTTCATCCCCGCCAACGCCCGCCGTGGGAAAAAAACAACAAACAAACAAAATGGCAGGGCGGCCGAAATGCTTTCTTCATCTTGTCTCAGCTGACTTGTTACCGGTTCGTTCACCGCCCAGTGCTTGTTCCCCTTCTTCAAACGGGTTTGCCGTTGTCTTGAGCACAGTGCGAACCCCCTTCACCACCCACTGTCCCATAACCACGTTAATGCACAAAACGTCCTTTCATCTTTTTGTATTCACCTCGTTGTGTTGCAATCTGGTCATGCGTTCCCCCCTCCCCCCTTCTGCATCACAAAAAACTTCAAGCAATCGACCACTCACACGACGTCGTCACCCCCCCCTTCCTCCCCTCATCAACCCGGCCCCCAGCCTCTTCAGCAACCAAGAAGCCAGCCAGCCCGATGACGCTAGTGCAGCGGTCCACCCACCCGGGGGCGGGCTTAATTGGGGCAACTGAATCGCCTCAGCTGTCCCTCTATTGCCTGTATTCGTTATCCTCTGCGAAAGCTTAAAAAAAGCGAAAAAAAAAAGAAAGTAAAGCCTCGCGGTGCAAAAAGTGAATCGTGGCACTTTTTAGTCTAGTTAGCTGTTTTCAAAAGTCATACGTTATTACTAGAAGAACCGTCTTTCAGCGCTTTGGTGGCGTTTTTATTTCGTCGCCTTCTTTCCCGCCAAGTCCCCGTGCTGTACGAATGCCTACAGATTACCCAAGGTCGCCTGCTTGCTTGTGAGAGGGGGGGGTGTCATTGCTGCTCATGGTGGCCTGCTTTTTTCCCTTCTCCTCACCCGCCACTCGCTTTGGCTATTCTAAATCTGGCCGCGGCACCCTTTTTTTAATTCTTTTAATTTTTATTTGCAATCTTTTTAGTTTGATTTCAGTTTTTCCTGAACCCGGGTCTCGTGCACCAAACCGAAAAGAGAAACCTGCATTTAGAATAAAAAGGGTCCCAGCACCCCATCCCTCTAAAAAAACGGGCACCGTTTAAAACCACTTTCTTCTTTCTTCCGACTTTAAACCTTGGGCCCAAACCCGTTTGCTGTTTCAAAAGGATAACTAATTCTCATCACTCCATCCTCTCTCGAGAAAAGAGAGAAAGAAAGAAAAACCAGCGTTGGACGAAGTCGCTTCTGCTCTCCCTCTTCTTCTTCATCCTCTCTCTCCCCTCCCAAGACAACGGACGTTCCAACATCCGGCCAAGACTGGTTCCGCTTTCGGCTCACGGTTCATCGGTCGCCCTACACTCACTCCTCTTTGGCTATTGTCCCCAGCACAGAGCAGCTTCCCCCTCTGCATCGCCCAAACTCAGCTTGCGGGCGGAGCTTGATCCAGGACATCAATACAACCAAAGACAGAGAGAGAGAGTAGGAGTCCAATCGCCTACCCCGCTGTTTGCCTTTTCTTTTCCAGGGTTCAGATCGCCTTTTTACTATTTGTAATAGGTTTCTTCCCTCCCAGTAAAAACAACACAAAAAGGACAAAAAGCCTCGATACGAAGCCGGACAAGATACAATCGCACTGGCCTACTTACACACATACCCAACAATTCCACCTCTTTATTAACCCTCTCCCCGAAAACTCACACGACGCAATGGATGCTCCCGAGCCAGTCCCCTCCATCTCCCCCGCCAAGCAGGACCGCATCCTCATCTGGCGCAGCGAGGTCGAGCTCGCCACCACCGCCGGCCCCGAATCCGACAGCACCACGGCCTCCCACGACGGCGCCTCGTCCAACCGCGGCGGCTCCTCGGCCACCTCCACCACCACGTCCTCGCGCGCCTCCTCGTCGCGCTCCGCCGCCCTCGTCCTCGCCCGCGGCCGCCACGCCCTCGCCAAGGTCGCCCGCAAGCTGGCCTGGCCACGCCGGCGATCCGCCCACCGCCCGGCCCGAGAGGACCGCGGCTTGCTGAGGACCGCCATGTACGCGAGGCTCTCGCCCGATTACCAACCGGCCGAGGACGAGGAGATGGAGGATGGTGCTGTCGCTCCCTTGAGGCGCCATGGAGAGCCTCCTGCTGCGTGACCGCTTGAGGCTTGCTTGAAACGAGGGAGCACGGACAACCTCAACATCATCACCATCTTCATCCTCTTTCATCAACATCATCAACATCATCATGTCAACGCCGTTATGAACCCGGCAACACAGCGGGCGCCTCTTTGGAGTACATTTCACTTACTCTTTATTTGTTTCGTTTGGAAGCCACGTCTCTCTTCTGTTCTTTTTTGCAAATCCGTATTATACCCTTTGCTATATTCTCGAGACCTTACCATCTAATATAATTGGACATCTACGACACACTGTCTGTCAAGTTTACCTTTGCAGCTGTTTCACTAATTCAACTCTCTTGAACCGACTCCCGTCAACCTATTCTTATTATTCACCCGTGATCACCATTGTCAGTCAATTCAGGCTCAGAACGTCGCCACCCTAAGAGCTGACAGCCCAACCCTGCAACTCGTCACGAGACACAAACATGTCACACCACACAACACACAACACAGTACACGCGAACACACAACACGTGTTATCGAATATTTTGCCATTTTTTATATACTGCGGTTCCATCCCGAGTCCCCTTTAACCTGCTGGGAAACAGAGCCTGGAGCCCTCTCAATGGGGGCTGTGCCGTCCAGGAAATCTTCTCTCCTCCGCAAACAGGTTCCATGTCGACTCATCAACCTTGCAACGACAGCTGGTCAAAAGAGGTACGCCGGAGGCCACTGCAGAAACTGTGGGGAAAAAAGAAGTAACAACAACAAAAAAAGAGTTTAACAAGAGCAGCAGAAACAATACTTCCGTAAAGTGAAAAACGAGATACGATCCATAAGAAATTTCCGGATCGGGGTCAACTAATTTCAGTAAAGCAGCCATAGTGGGAAAAAAAGAACAAAATACCCACGACCATGGCGGGCATCTTTGTATTTTTTGCCATGACTGCCGACGCAGTGAGGCGCGAGAAACGGTCGTGTTTCTCTCCCAGGCCGAAACCGTAATAAATTCTACCCCCCCATTTGCAAAAAAAGCAAACGCACCAGCCAACCCGTTTCTTCGTGAGTCAACTGCACCGTTTCAGTCCGGCCACAGATGGGGTGCATTTAGGAGGCAGGGGCAGTGGTAGTGGCGGCCGCGTCAGTCGTAGCCTCCTCGGCAGGCTTCTCGGCCTCGGCGGGGGCGGCGGGGGCGGCGGCCTCGTCCTTCTTGGGGGCATCGGCGCTGGCCTCGGCGTCGGCCGTGTCAGAAGAGGTCCACAGGGTCAGGTTATCACGGAGAAGTTGCATAATAAGAGTGCTGTCGCGGTACGACTCCTCGGACAATGAGTCGAGCTCGGCAATGGCATCGTCAAAGGCCTGCTTGGCGAGGTGGCAAGCACGGTCGGGCGAGTTGAGAATCTCATAGTAGAAGACGGAGAAGTTAAGGGCAAGACCCAGGCGGATGGGGTGAGTGGGTGTGAGCTCAGTCTGGGCCACGTCGGTAGCGTTCTGCGGCTGTTAGTTTGGACCGGGCGAAAGAGGGGTTGAGGGGATAGCTCACCTTGTAAGCATCGTGGGCAGCGGTGGCAGCAACCTTGCGCTTCTCGCCAGAGGCAAACTCGGCAAGGTAGCGGTGGTAGTCACCCTTCCTGTGGGGATGTTAGTGATGATTTCACGGTTGCAACAGGTTTCGATCAAAATTTTGGATTACGCACATCTTGTGGTAGAAGACCTTGGACTCGCCAGTGGCGGAATTCGGAATAAGGCTCTCGTCAAGAACGTCAAGGACATCCTGGCAGACCTTCTCGAGCTCGGTCTCGATCTTCTGGCGGTAGTCCTTGATGGTAGGGACGTGCTTGTCGGTGCCCTTAGACTCCTCCTTCTGCTCAATGGAGGAGATGATGCGCCACGAGGCACGGCGGGTGCCGACAACGTTCTTGTAGGCGACGGAGAGCAGGTTGCGCTCGTCGACGGTGAGCTCGCCGCCAATCTTGGCCACCTCCTTCATGTAGGTGACCATCTCATCGTAGCGCTCGGCCTGCTCGCAGAGGCGGGCGAGGAAGGTCTTGCTGTTGGAGGGCGTTAGTTGTGTGCGCTCTTGAGGCGACCATGGTGGCGGCGGGGCCGGAGGAGGGCAAACCTTTCACGCTGGAAAAAACGAGTTAGCACGAGATCAGAGAAGGATGATGGGGATGCTCGGAGCGGCCATGGGCAGCATCGAGAGATGCCGGCCTGTGTTGGCTCGGGGCATTGAACGGATAGGGGCCTTTGGGGCGGTGGAGGAGGGGACAGGGAAGCGCAAACGGAGTGGTCATACCTCAGTAGCCATTTTGAACGAAAGGGTGGTTGGTCTCGAGATATGCAATAAAGTAAAGAGCGCAGTCGGCTGGAACAGGAGAGAGAAGAGGGAAGAAGATACGACGTCAAAAAACGACTAGGGGGAGAATGGGGGAATGTAGATGAAAGAAGAGGTGTTGATATTTTGATGTGGATAAGTGGTAGATTTGGACTTGGGTTTTAGGCGCTGGGGGGGGCGGCAGCGGAGAGGGAGGAGAGAGGGGAACCAAGGACCAATGTCTGCTGGCTGAAGCAGGTTGCCACGAAGCAGTGAACAGTGAAGCCTGTTATCGGGTTGCCAGCAGGTGTCTGCAGTGGGTTTCATCAGCAGGCATTGTTTCCCACTAGAAACGCCCACAACGAGCCTGGCCAGTGTCCAACTGGGCAGTGGCAGCAGGCCAGCTGCAGTGGAGTTTTTTTTTCACCCCCGCTTCAGCGAAGAAAGAAAAAAAAGCTCGATACGCTTCACCTCCCTTCCATTCTCCGCGTGGTCCAATCACCAGGTATTCTTTCGCAGGGACCACACCAAGGAAATACCTCGTCTGTTGACGTGGCGGTCATGGCCCCGGACCCAGGCCGCAGCATCCGTACATTGAATGTCGGCTTGCTTGCATGGGTTTGACTCAAGGAGTGTGTAACTATGTCCTTGCCGTTTTGTCTGTGCCTTGTGTATCCCTTTTTTTTCCCCTGTCATGTTGAGCTTCCGTAGGTATTCTGCCTGGCTGCTGCTTGTCCGGCCGCCTACATACACACGTCGCAACATCGCGGGGTAGCTTTAATAAGCCCTCACTCTGATACAGCAAACACCTCGTCAGCCTTTGCTTGCCCCCTCCCAACCAACGATTCAGCACCGCCCGGAATGTGACGACGCTTCCCGTCACACAAGATGGCTGCCTTGAGCCTATCTTCTCGTCTCTTCCCTTTCCTCGTGGCCTTTGTCTAGTTTCACCAGCACTGCCACTCCACCATGACTAGTGGCCATCGTCGACCAGTTGCTTCACTTCTATCAACTCCTCCCTGCCGCCCCAGCGCCTACCAGTGGCCCTGCACCCCCTCTCTTGGGCTTCGTCCTCCCGGCGCGCCGCCAAGTCTCCAGTACCTGTCTGTCAGCCCTGGCCCTCGCATCCAATAACTAACCTGCATCACGACTTTTCCCGACACCCTCCCCTCCAACCCTTGACCCCGCCTTGACCAACGAGCACCATCTCACGACCATGTGATGCCGTCACAATTCCAGCCAAACCGCCCTGTAATCACAGCTACAGTTCAGGCCACTCCCCGCACGTGCTGGCAGCACGGAAAACAGAAGAGGTGCATCATCCGTCGTGATTCAGTTTCCCCTCACTTGGGTCCCACCAGCGCGCCAATAGTTTGTTCTCTTAAATGTTGTTGACACCTAAATCATTTCGAGGCGCGCCGGCTCCGCATGCCACGCGAAGGTCCTGCAGCCATTCACGAAGACGACTCATTAATTATTCTTCTTATCATGTCTGTTGATACATACAAACTACCACCGCTTGACCGTCGTAGTCACGGACGCCACAGCCGCAGCTGCTCCTGATGTGTATTACCCACATTAAGCTACAGCTCTTGGTTTTCCGCTTCCAGTTCAACAGCGTCCAACTCGGACGTCTTGCCGCGACCCCAGTCAAACGGATCGCCACCTGGAAAACAGAGTCCCAGCCTCCAAAAGTAATCTCGGTGCGCGAAAAATAGCTGCCATAACTTGAGCCGCGTGGGAAAGGTCCGTTTCTCCAACTGACTACGCGCGAAGCTTTGATAAAACTCGGTCAAGCGCGCCAGGCTCTCGGAAGTGCTGTCCTGCCCGGCGCTGCATTTTTTGTCGTGGTTGCCCTTGCATAACTGCAAGTCTTCTCCAGCCGGGGAAAGTTGAGACTTTGTAATGTGAATCTCGCCAGCGTGCGACATATATCCCCATTCTCCAGGTGGCAGCAGCGGGACAGGGTCGTTTGTGTGCGTCAAGCGTCGGTAGGAGCGCCTTTCCAAGTCGGTCTCGTCGTTCAAGTCGAATACGCGATTGATAAAATCAACGAGCCCATCGTTACCCACACGCGGCTCGCCAAATGTCGTGACGACAAGATTGTCTAGGCCTATGTTTGTCTTCAGCTCGAGGGCTGCCAGACACGCCACTGCACCTCCAAGACTATGGCCAATAAGATGGATCGGCTTGGACGGGTGTATTCTCCGTAGCTGGACAATTTCGGAAATGACCGACTCCTTGGCGGTCTGCCAGGCCTTGTAGAAGCCCATGTGGACGGTACAGTTGGTGCACTTGTGCGCAGGCCCGTCGCCTGGCGAAGGATACGGCACGTACTTCTGTGGCACGGTGCTGAGGTCCACGACTGTGTCGGCGATGCTGTAGGTGCCGCGAAAGGCGACGATGATGGCCCCGTGCGAGTCGATGGCGAGGCTGGGGTCGGCCGGGGTCTCATCGACGGCAACGTAGCCGCAGCTGTCGGTCATGAAGAGACCGGTGCTCCACGTCGTGGACAGGGTGACGTTGGGGAACTCGGCGCAACGCGAGAGGCAGTTGAAGGGCTCGCTGATACCCGTGCTGCCGATACAGTAGGAAATGTCGACGAGCCGGGCTAGGCGCTCAAGCGAGGCAAACAAGTCAGCCGACACACCGGGCGCCTGGGGCGTGGCGCCGGCGGCGTGCAGCAAGCACGCCAGCAGGATGAGCCACATTCTTAGCTACACTGATGGCCCGCCGTCACTGTAGGATGGAAGATGATTGTGTTAAAGGGGGAGGAGAGTGAAGCGCAGGTGGTTGGAGACAACCTGTGGACAAAATGCACGATCACGAGGCGTTGGGCTTCAGGTGGGCCTAGCTAGAATCCGGGGGCTAGCGCCATCCCAAGACGTTAAAAAAGAACGGCGCGGAGGGCGCCACTGCATAATGTTGTGTGTGGAATTGAAGTTGTTAAAAAAAAAAAGTCTATCAATTTTTATTCATACAAGTCGTGTCGTTTATTCCATTTGCATCATTTCATACGCCATCTTGAAGCTGGTCGGGTCCCGCACAGGCTGGAGGCTGGTAAAGTTGCCCGTGTACTCTGTGGCGTTGGCGGCACATACGCCACCCTTGCACGGCGCCGAGATGAAGATGGTGCCGGTTGCCTCGTAGAGCGGCGTTCTGCAAAAAAAAAAATTTGTTAGTTTTTCTTTTCGACAATCCAAAGCGGACAAGAAAACGAACCCTTGAGGGGATGGGCACGCTCGCTCGATAATGGCCAGCTGCTGCTTGTTCTGCTCCCAGATGAACTTTACGTCACGGTTCTCGCAGGCGAAGCGCGGCGTCAGGCCTGCGGGCGACGTCGACTTGGAGGTAGCATTGAGCTGGCACGTCGTCTCGACTTTGGTGGCCGCGTCGGCGTAGGAAAAGGTGAAAAAGGTCGGGGCGGACGCGTCGGCGGTGCCGTTGGCCTGCCCGGCAAAATCGCGAATCTTGAACTGCTGCGGCAGGTCGCAGTTCTGCTGGGCGGCGGCCTTGAGCAGCATCGGGTGCGCCGTGTAGGCGGTGGCGGCGAGGGGCAGCGCGGCGGCGACGGCGAGACTGAGACGCATTTTGGTTGATGTAGATGGAGTGTTTGGAAAAATTCGGGTTGGAGGATGCTTCTCGTACAACGAATGGTAGAGAAACAGCGAAGCAAGGGCATTTAAAGGTGTTGCCTTGAAGGGCAGGTTCCACATGTTGCCGACCATTGACCATTGACCATTGACCATTGACCAAGGAACGAACAAGCACCCGCCCCTGATAAACTTTGCTACCCAACACAACCATCCAACCATCCAACCATCACTGCCGATCCCCTTGTTTCATCTTTTGGTGGTCCTGGTTCTTCTGCCCTCTTTTTCTTCCAAGGCAACTAGTTACGAATAACGAACCAACTACATACCAGCCAGAACGTTAGGCCCCCCGTTCCACCGAGACATTGCGTACCTATTTTACTCGTGCGGGAACGAGGCGGGCCTGAGCACCCAAGAAGCAAACAGCACTGCCACCGTGCCTCCAGCTGCTCTGCTGAGTTGAATGGGGCGATTGCCCATTGTCAACACGAGATTCCCGATAGATTACCCAAAGCGGGCGGCTAACTCTATCCGTGCAACCCGATGGATGGTTGTGCGGCGAACTCGACTCATGGACTGTTGCATGCCCAATCTTGAGAGCCAAGGAAGTCTTGGCTTCCGTCTCGTTGGCTACTCTCATCGTGGAATGCGAATAAAGTTTGATGGACATTGGTCTGAGACTCAAAGGGAATGGGAAAGGCGGTGATCGCAGTCTATGTATGTGAATGCGTTTGGTCCCATCGCTCACTGGCTAGCGGCTGAATTGACGTAATGTCCCTTGTGCGCGGCGAGCTTTTCATCCCAAGTTCAAAACGAGGTCACAGCGGCGTCGTATTCATGCTGTCCACCCTATTGCCTGCCATACCTTCGCTGAATTCAAATTAGACGGTGCCTTCGACAAGCCCACACGCCACAATCTTGCTACAAGCAAAGGGCTCTCGCGAATTATGGCATGCGGATATTTTGATGGGAAAGTCAGCAAGAGCTATAATAATTCAAGACCAAACACTCTATTACAACCCATCTGTTGCGGGAGCTAGATCGACGCCGCGCCTCACCCGCGATCCTCCGGCAATTGTGCGGGAATAGCCGACCGCAGCGCAACGGTGTCTACGCACAAGCGCCACGATACCAACAGTACGGTTATTCGCCTGAACTGCATGTACACTTTTTGTGCAAACTATGAGACACGGTATCACTCCATCTGAGGCCGCAACACAAAGGCTGTCCCACGAGGAGCAAGCAGTCCATCGGCGAGGCCGCACTCCACGTGTGTGACCAGACCCTGCGCCCAGGATTTTTTTCTGCAGTATAAACTCTGAGTGCATGGTATGGCGACATTACTATTTCTACTCATCATGCTCTATAAATGGCACGTGGTACACAGCGTATAGCTCCAGTTCATTTACTGCACGACCAGACTTCCAAGCACTTCCGGTCTGAGACGGCCGGCCATGCCTGAAATTCTTCCAGATTTGTGAGGCCACTCCCTAGTTAACCTGTGAGACCGCTCGCATCCGACCACAGCCATTATGTCATTCCGAATAGCGAGGCCTCTCAAGGATGCAAGCGGTGGCCATGGGACAGACACCTCATGCATTGGCTTGAACTGTGACGCATGACAAATTGCGCCCTCACCTTTATGGTCCCGGAATACTTTGCCCGCTCGCGACGAATGGCTCGTTCCGAGAGTCAGTCCCCGAGCATGGCCGAGCTCCATCTCAGTGTGGCTGCAGGAGGATACGAGAATGCTCAGCCTCACAGGCACTTAAACGTGGGGAGAAGATGGAAGTTGAACGTCTCTTCAACTCATGACAGCTTCGAGGGAATACAGTCTGCAAGAATTCCTTGTTGTTCGATGTCAAAAATCGCCGCCCACAATGCTTTTGAGCTGTATTCGTGCTTTTACAATGTGCGAACTCTTTCCGGGGTTCTCGGGGCTGTGGGCAAACGACTGCAAAATACGTCGACCGGGGCTGACAATTGCAGTGTGTGTGGAGGAACGACCCAAACACGACCCAAGGCAGGCTGTGTGCTTCAAGAAGTAGGCCAAAATAGCCTCACCCAAAGGTCGTCTCGGAAGGATAGCCCCCTCACGATGGATATATCTCATGCAGTATGATCCCAGGCTGTGTTGCCACGCTTACTATCATTACACTCGGCTTACTATCCAGACGCTTGTCATTTCCCTATCACTCTGGACGTGAGGCGCTTCATGTCCTAACTGCCCTCTACAATGACAAGCACAAGCCTTGAAGAAGACGTGCTGTACGAAACCTATGAACTTGCCGACGCAGAGAAGCGATACGAGGGCGGTCGCTCGGTGAACACGTCAAAATCAATTTGAACTATGACCATTAGTGCAACCCTTAAGTTCGACTCGGAAGATATGCACACACATACAGCGCCCACTCTTGACTTAAAAGCGACTCCTAAATCCGAACCCGAGGATGACGTTGGCTCCCCGCCTTTGCTCAATATACCCTATGTACAGGAGGACACCACGCCAGCACCTGTCTTTGTCCGGTACGGCAGCGCCTCTGCGGCTACGACTCCAAGTAGATGGGCCGAGTGGACCAAGTACGCGCCGTACGCGGCGGACGGGACGCTCAAAGAGGCGCGGCGGTACAAGAGGGTCAGCGCCAAATATTGAATACTCAATCTATAGTAATTTCATTGGCTGTCTAAATGTTGGTACCTATTTCTTCCAAGCTCATCCTGGCTCGTCCCGGGCCAGCTCGCTCACCATGGCCTCCATCTCCGTCATGATGGCCATCTCTATCGGGTATTCTGTCATGATGCTTGCCACCACCTGCCGCCACCATGGCTGCTCACCACGCGGTCCCAGCAGCGCCATGTAGTACTCCCACCACTCGGGCCAGAACCCCGCCGTCTCCCAATCTGTGATGCCCGTGACGTCGCCCGTCGCCTCGTCGACAAAAATATTCGCCCACGAGAGGTCGCCGTGCGAAAGCCGCGCGCGCCGCGGAGGGTCCACGAGGGCGAACCGGCGCCGAAACGCCTCCGCCGCTTCGGGCCGGCGTCCGTGTAGGTGGTTCGGCAGCGCGTCCTGAAACTGCGCCACGTCGAGGCACGCGCGCCAGAGAAACGGGCGGCGAAACTCGGCGGCCGACGTCGAGGACGGCGCGCGGCTCGGCGGCTCGCTCTTGCGGTGGTTGTAGCACGCGCCGCCGGCGATGCTGCGGACCTGCGCCGTATCGGGCGCAGGGGTGAGCTTGTGCACCTGCGCAAGGAAGGCGCGGAGCTGCTGGCAGGTGCGCGCGCGGCTGGCCGGCGACATGCCCGGCCAGGCGGCGTCGAGGCGCAGGCCCGTCACCTTTTTCATGCGAATGTAGTTCTCCTCGACCCGTTCAATCGTCTTGGACTGCTCGTCCAGGCAGAAACCGATGATGGTCGGGACTGGCATGGGTACCGGCACGTGCGTCTTGATGTAGTAGATGGCTTCCACTTCCATCCGCAGCAGGTGCGCGAAGCCGCGCTTGCGCACGGCATAGTCCCCTTCGAAGACGAGAGTGGACTCGGGCGACATTGCGGACGAGGCCGCCCTGTGTGCTGTAAGAAGATGTGGTTTGTTTGCGACGGCTTGATCATGCAACGTTCGGTGTTCGATGGGAAGTTCGCTGTCTATATATAGCCCTTGCGGCGGACGAGAATCCAGTGCCGAGGTCCTAAAAGAATGGCCCGATTCGGATTGTAGCACAGTTTCAACTTCTCGTGGTGGTGGGACAAGATGCAAAGTGTGTAAGTGCGCCGTTTAAACAACTGGCCGGCCAAGTTGTACTCAAATATATTCATTGCTGTAAGTACCCAGGTAGCTCCCGCGTTGCGAGGGTAGTACCGTCCATATGTATAAGTATTTGACCGAGAATGAGAATGGGTTTCACGAGCCGTTGGTAGCAGTGAATGCAGTGTACTCGCAATTGATTCACTGAGTGAGCGCTCCGGCGTGGTAGGCAGACTTTGCGATCATTTCCAGTCTGGCAACCCTCGGGCAACTATAGACAAATAGTGTTCACTATCGATTAACAGATTCCATTCTGTCGCAAATGGTGATGCAGGTTTTGCCGGATCCAGTAAATTACGCTTCATCTCATGTGTCTACGCCTTGACTGCAAAGCGCAGCCATGTGACGGCGGCTCTAGGGCTCCCGTCTTTGTGTCGAGGAATCCACGTGAGGCTAATATTGCGACGGGCAAAGCCGAATCACTCCCACGCCAGCGACGCGCCCAGAGGCGTGAATGGTGCGTTGCTAATATGGCTGCTGCTACTGGAGGTGATTATCGGGTTACTGCGTCTCTGGCGTACAAGGCTTGTCCTACCTACTCGACGTAGTACACGACTCTAGAGACTGTGGTATAAAGGAGTTTGAGTCAGAAATCCAATAGAATGAGTAGTACAAACGAGGTACTATTTGTTTGTCAAACTCGAGCAAGGTCTGTTCCAGAAAGTCTATGAATTGGCTGGCTACTTGCAGCCACTTCGGGCTCGCACCAGCCAAGTTCATACTAGCATTTGTTCCCAGAAAGAACACAATACTCTCACAGTCACCCACCAATTTAGACGCCGCCGCTCGATTCTAGAGAAGCGTGACAGCAGGAGCTATCAAAGAATTATTGGCCATTCACAGCCGTTTTGAACCATGGACATTGCATGTGGCGGCTGTGACTCAACGCAACCTGTCTTGCATTCCTAGCTTGGGAATCAATACCGTTCTCGAGAAGAAAAAAGCCACTGATGCAGGGACATTGCGAAACGTCTTCCCAGGGAAGCTTACGAGGTGTACTGGAGTGCAACGTTACCTTCTACTATACTTCAGCGGCTGTATGGCCTATTGTAACTGTTTTTAACGCGAAACCTCTGATACGGCTCACATGCGCCGACACGAAAGTCATAATTGAAATCCAAATTAAATACTCGGATGACATATGGGCAACTTTGCGATACTTCTCTGTTCAGCTCGTTCGGGGGTTGACTATTTACTGGCAAATTGATAGAATCATAGGAAGAGACACAGTTATTTCATGGGCATTCAAAATTTTAGACATTCGACCAAAATCGATGGTGGCCTAACAATTGCAGTTTTGTATCTTTGAAATGACCAAATCTCCTCTCAGCTCTGCTTGTGCAGTTTCGCTGTTGGCTCGGCACCAACAACACCTCGCTGAACCCGATACGGCACTATCGATACCTGATAGCGCTAAGATAACTGTCTAGCGTGCCATTTCACCACACAAACCACTCGCTTACCCTGCGCACGTGACGCACAACTGCGAAAAATCTCTCGGCCCCACACCAACCAGTGAATTTCCAGTTGCCCAGGCTGGTCCCTCGAAATCCTTCTCAACCCACCGACCGACGACAAACTTCCTTCGACAATCCGCCAACCGAACCGACGGAATAATTATACACAATGGCCAAGGAAGCCACTGCTAAGACCGGCCTCGCCGTTGGCCTCAACAAGGGTCACGTACGTGTTTTGTCATGATCTCACCTCGTGGAGGATCTCTGCAAAGAACCGGAAAAAAAAGGAGCTCTTCTTCACGAGAGTGACCACTCTTGCAGACGATGGACGCTGACATTCGAATTTTTCTTTCCACCGGATATAGAAGACCACTGCTCGTGTCGTCAAGCCCCGCGTCTCCCGCACCAAGGGCCACCTGAGCAAGCGCACCGCCTTTGTCCGCGAGGTCGTCAAGGAGGTTGCTGGCCTCGCTCCCTACGAGCGCCGCGTCATTGAGCTCCTCCGCAACTCGCGCGACAAGCGCGCCCGCAAGCTCGCCAAGAAGAGGGTGCGTTTTTTTTTTCCCCTAGTCCCCTTCGTGTGCCCGACCCAGAGTTGCTAACCATCACAATCAGCTCGGTACCTTTGGCCGTGCCAAGAGAAAGGTCGACGAGCTCCAGGCCGTCATTGCCGACTCCCGCCGTACCGCTCATTAAATTTCCTCTGCTCATGACCGTGAGACGATGGAGAGATGAACGCAAGGACGACGGGAAACGCGCCCATGGAGAAGGTTTGTTCTCCAGGGGTTGCCGCACCGACACCACCGAAAAAAAAAAGCCCGGAAGCATATGAAATGAACCTTTTTTAAAACTGTAACGGCGTGGGATTTTCATTTTGGGATTTACAACAAAAACGACAGCTCAGACGAACGAGGATCGAGTTCGGCCGAGCTAGGTGGCATCCGCCGCATTGTACAGAAGACATGCGCTGAATACTACCACTTTCACGATCTATCCTGAGTCATCTTTGTTATATTCATGTGATCATGTTAAACACTGTAATCTTGAATGAATCTCGTGTAAATCGTCTACCAGAATCAAAACGCCGCCATATGCATACATGCTTTGCTTATTTCTTGCCTAGCTTAAACCACTTGGGCACTTTGGAGCCTCCGTTGCCATCCCCCGACTTCTTCGTCTCGCTGCTCTCCGCCTTGGGCGCCGGCGCCGGCTCCTCCACCTCGTACTCGGGCATCTCAGGCACCTTGATCGCCTGTCCCTGCTCGGCAACATTGGCTCTCAAAAACGGCTTCTGGCGCTGCGCCGGCGACACCGCGTCGTCCCACACCAGGTTGACCAGCACCCGGCCCTGGAGCTTGTACCCCGCGATGAGGCTGTGCTTGGGGCCGGCGTCGTCCCTGATGGCATGCTTCCCGACGCTCCCCGGCAGCACGAGGCGAAACGGCAGCGCCGGGTCCGCCATGACGCGCCGGACCGCGGCGTGAAGAAAGGCGCCGGTAGCGGCGTGGTCGACGTGCCAGTCGCTGCTCGTGTTGTCCGGGAAGCGCACCTTGACGAGCACCGACTTGATCGAGGCGAGACGCGCCTGGTGGTCGGCGGCCTTGGCTTCAATCTCCTTGTCGGAGGGGAGGCGCTTGTTGCGGGAGCTTTGTAGCAGCAGGCTCTGGTGCAGCTTGGCGTGCGCAATGGTGGGTGTGAAGTCAGACTCCGCGGCTGGTGCCAGCGCCGCGGCCGGTGTACTATTAGAGGGTGCCAGGTAGATACCGGCAGGCTCGTACGGGTCGTCTGACTTGAAAGCGGGAGCGGCCGCCGGTGCTGCGTCTAGCGGTTCTTGGGCAGGCGGTGGTACCTCGGCCATGGGCGTATCCGGCACCTGCGTATCTGGCAGCTGTGCAGCCGGCGCCTCCTCGGCTGCCGGTGGCTCTGGCGGCGCAGGCGCCGTCGGTTCCCCCCTCGTGTCCTTGAAGAACTGACCAATCTGCTCCATGGCTTCAAACAGCGTCTGGTCCGTCGTCTTAAACGACAGGCGAATCAACACGCTACCCGAGTTGTGCCCCAGCTGGGCCAGCGTCTTCTGAAAGTCGGCAAACGTCGTGTAGTCGCGGCCCATGATGTTGAGCACGGGCGTCTCGTAGTATAGCTGACCAGCGCCCGAGGCCACGCCGTCCGCGCCGCTCGTCCGCGCGACCCCCCGCGCCGTAATGTTGATGTTGCGCCCCGCGCTCGCATCGCCGCTCTCCAGCTGCCGCAGCACGCCCCAGAGCGTCAGGTCCGACGGCAGCTTCTTGATGAGGCGCCCGCCGGGGATCTCCTTGGCCTCGGGCTGCGGCAGCTGCAGGCCAATCTGCACAGCGGACGGCGTGTTGGACTTTTGGACGAGCTCGAGCTTGGCGCCCCCGACGAGGCCCGTGGTGCGAAAGGGAACGGTGAGGTCAACGGTTTTTTGCTTGTGCCTGGAGACGTGTGAGCGAATGAGGGGGTGACATTTGCATCTCGGGAGGGGCCGCCTTACTTGAGTATGTATTTGTCGCTCGAGATGTTGAGCTTTTTGCAGGCCTCCTGCAAAATGTCTATTAGATATGTGCCTGGGGTGACTTTGATGGTGGCACGGCGTAGGTCCGAGCCGATGACCACGACATGCGACGCCATGGTAGCTGTGTGAGGCTAAACAAATCGAAAATCGACGGATATCGCGACAATGTATGCTGCAAAGGTTCAAGCAAAAAGCAACGCTGGCAGATTGCAACGGTAAGCCGTGGTAATCTTCTCGAACAATCCGCAGGCAGCTGCGAGCTTGGCGTGGGGTTAATTAGTAGTGGCTGAATGGAGTACAAGCTTGGCTCTCTGGCAACTGGGGGCAATCGTAGCCCGCTGAGAATTATAGCGGCCTTCAGCGCTGTACCAGCGGTTTTCCGGTTCACAGGCAGCAGCGAGTACGCCGCGCCTGCTTACGTGGTTGGTTTAGGCGGGGATTTGCCGGTCTGGCCGCGCCAGTCGTGTTGCCTTGCGCTACCTGTGCTAACTAACTTGGCCAGGCATATCGGGGGAGGCTCTAGCTACACCATTCCGCGAGAGCTTCTATCCAACCTCCATTTCTCTCTGCTCATCAATCCAGTTCGCACCGCGCAGACTGCCCACGTCTGCCATCTCCTTCAGTGCGACATACTGGGTTCGCGTTTCCACACCCACCTACACTTCCTTCAGATAAAGACGCCATGGTAAGCTCTTGTTTGCAGTCAGGTCGTCACTGGATTGATATCGCTAACCATCGTGGCCCATCAGTCGTCCCCATTCTCAATCAGTCAGTTAAACCGACTCCTCGATGCCTCTCAACTCCTCCCACTACCCCCTATCGCCACAATACCAATCAAAACTGTACTAACGCTCGACAGATGGCGGTGCCTGCGTCGCCATGGTTGGCAAGGACTGCGTCGCCATCGCCTGCGATCTCCGCCTCGGCCTCCAAGCCCTGACTGTGTCCAACAACTTTCCCAAAATCTTCCAGTACGGCGACGTCTTCCTCGGCCTGACCGGCCTCGCCACCGACGTCAGCACCGTCAGCGACCTCTTCCGCTACAAGGTCAACATGTACCGCCTGCGCGAGGAGCGTGACATTGCCCCGCGCACCTTTGCCAACCTCGTCTCCTCGTCGCTCTACGAGCGCCGCTTTGGCCCCTACTTTATCTCTCCGGTCGTCGCCGGCCTCGACCCCAAGACGGGGAAACCATTCATCTGCGGCTTTGACAGCATTGGCTGCATCGACTTTGCCAAGGACTTCATTGTCGCCGGTACGGCCTCGGACCAGCTCTTTGGCATGTGCGAGGGTCTATACGAGCCTGACCTGGTACGTTGATGCTTTGGAAATGCTGCGCTTTGAACACCACTAACAACTTAGGAACCCGATGCGCTTTTCGAGACCATTTCGCAGGCGCTGTTGTGTGCCGTTGATAGAGATGCTTTGTCTGGTTGGGGTGCACACGTGTACATTATTGAAAAGGGCAAGATTACCAAGAGGTTACTAAAGGGCCGCCAGGATTAGAGCATGTACGAATAGATATTCAAAGACTTTTATATTCTACTAATGTGTCACTGTCTATGTCCAGCTCATGCTAGTCTATGTTTACAGGTCCTTCTTGGGCGCTTTTTCAGCCACTGGAGCGATCGTTTGCGTAAAATACTGGCGCTCAACAAACTTGAGAATCTCGTCGAGAAGACTAAACAAGTTAGCAAATCTGTCAATGCTGGAGGAAATCTGAAAACTTACATGACAGGGGCACTGATAACAACCACAGCCTTCCACTCGGCCCAGTTGAGGGGCAGAATAGCAAACAGCGTCTGCAAGACAGGAGTGTAGAGCAGAGCAAAGTGTAAAGCCATCGACAGAGTAATGGCGTAGACGAGCATCATGTTCTTCCACAGCGGCAGGGTCAACAAGGACTCGCTTGATGAAAGAGCGTTCATGGCGTTGAACATTTCAATCGTAACCAGGATAGAAAGGGATACGGTAGACCCTGACTTCGCCATGTCGTTGGAGAACATCTGGCAGCCGATCTCGGGGAAATCAGTCGAGCAGTGGTGGAAGCGTGAAAGCTGCGAGAAGGTGATCTGGGGGCCAGCGGGGTAGTACATGAACCACCAGGCGTAGCCAGCAACAGTGGCCAGACCTACGTAGGTACCGATAACCAGGTAGCGGAAGAACAGCCACCCACCGATGAGCTTCTCGTCTCTCTTGCGAGGCTGGCGCTTCATAATGTCATTGTCAGGAGGGTTGAACGAGAGAGCAGTGGCAGGAAGACCATCGGTCACCAGGTTGACCCAGAGAAGCTGAACAGGAATCAGAGCCTCGGGCATACCAAGTGCAGCAGTGAGGAAAATGGAGACAACTTCACCAATGTTGGAAGAGATAAGGTAGCGGATAAACTGCTGGGTGTTGTTGTAGATGGAACGACCCTCCTCGATGGCGACCTCGATCGTGGCAAAGTTGCTGTCAGCGAGTACCATGTCGGCAGCCAACTTGGCGACATCAGTGCCAGAGCCCATGGCAACACCAATATCAGCCTTTTTCAGAGCAGGGGCATCGTTGACACCGTCACCAGTCATGGCAACGACCTCACCGAGAGATTGGAGCAGATCAACCAGACGGGACTTGTGACCAGGCTCAACACGAGAGAAGAGGGAAGCGCGCTTAGCAGCCTCGAGCTGCTCGCCGGGGCTGAGGTTGTCAAACTCGCGGCCAGTGTAGCTCTTGCCAGTGAGATCTTCGTTCTCACCGAAAACACCAATCTGTCGGCAAATGCTCTCGGCAGTGTTGCGGTTATCACCGGTGATAACGATGATGCGAATACCGGCAGCCTTGCAATGCTGGACAGACCGGGGAACTTCTGGACGAGGAGGATCAAGCATACCAACAAGACCGAGGAAAGTCATGTCTTGCTCGAGCTCAGCGTATTGTTCGTTAGACTTGGCGGTGGAGGCAAGGCGGTTCTTGGAGACGTCGTCGATGCTAGCAAGGGCAATAATGCGCAAGCCACGGTTACCATAGTCGACAACCTCCTTCATTAGAATCTCGGAAATATTGCTAGTGAGGGGAACACGCTTGCCATCGGCACCCACAGTGGCCTGAGTGCAGCGATCAATGATGGACTCGGGAGCACCCTTGACGAGAAGCTTCTTCTTCTTACCGTCGGCAACAATGACAGACATGCTCTTGCGATCGCGAGAGAATTCAAAGGTGGAGATGACAGGGAGTTCTTCTTCAAAGTTTGCGCTGGCGTAGTGAAGTGCCTGGTGGACATCGGTGCCAGCAGGAGCCACAGGACCGAGCTTTTCAACAAGTACGCGGAGAGCACCCTCGGTAGGCTCGCCAACACTCGAATAGTTGCCGGTCTTCTCATCATAGGCAAGGTGGGAATCGTTACAGAGAGCACCCACTTCGGCCATTTGCTGAATGGTGCTCGAAGTTTCAGTCAGGTTAGTAACGACCTTGCCGTTACTTCGGATGTTGCCTCGGGGAGAAAAGGTTGTGCCCTCAACATCGAGCTCAATCAGGTCCTTGCCAGCGTCGTTGAGATAGACAATCTTGTTGACGCTCATCTGGTTGGTGGTGAGAGTTCCGGTCTTGTCGGAGCAAATAACGCTGCAGCTACCAAGAGTCTCAACGGAGGGCAGACTGCGAACTACGGCATTTTTGGCGGCCATCTTGCGGGTACCAAGAGCGAGACAGGTGGTAATAACAACGGCAAGACCTTCGGGGATGGCGGCGACACCGAGGGAGACAGCGATCTTGAGGTAGTAGATGGCGCCCTTGGTCCAGCTTCCGTGACTGGGGTCGTTGAAGTTGGGAATGTTGATGAGCCAAACGAGGATGCAGATGACGGTAATGACCTTGGCGAGATTGTCGCCAAAATCGTTGAGCTTCTGCTTGAGAGGCGTAGGCTCGGAAATCTGAGCAGTAATTGACTCATGAATGTCACCAATGGCAGTATTGGAACCAGTCAGGGCAACAACAGCGCGAGCGCGGCCGACAACAACGGTAGTGCCAGAGAAGAGCATGTTGACCTGGTCCTGGAGCACGGCCTTGGCGTCCTTGATGACGGCGTCGCCATCCTTACCAACACTCTCACTTTCACCGGTGAGAATGGCCTGGTCGACGGCAAAGCTGTTACTTTCGATAGCAATTACACGGCAATCGGCGGGGATGCGGTCGCCAACATGGACAGATATGATATCACCGGGGACCAAGTAGTCGGCCTTGACGCGCGACACGTGGCCACCGTTTCGGATGACGTTTGCTTCGTTGGCAGAGTATTCCTGGAGGGCGGCGATGGCTTTCTCGGCGCTGCTCTCTTGCGAGACACCGACGACGGCGTTGAGGATGAGAATGGTGAGGATCTGAACATTAGCTTGGCTTGGCGCAGACCCGGGGATTGATACTCACAACAGCAGGGTCAACAAAGGCACTCCAACCGCCCTCGTCTTCCAAGAGAGCGAGAACAAAGGAGACAGCGGCGGAGCCGAGAAGAATCAATACCAGCTGGTCCTTGAACTGCTCAAGAATAAGCTCCCACAGAGGAGTGGGCGGCTCCTCGGGGATCGCTGCGATGGTCAGTACGGCGCGGCGATGAGACGGATTTGGGGGAAATCGGCGTACAGTTGCGACCATATTTGGCGCGGAGCTCGTCAACTTGCTTGTCAGTCAGACCGTCGTGGTCATTGACATTGAAGTTGGCGAGCACCTTCTTGATGGGTGTGGCAAAGGCGTTCTCCATGGTGTTTGTGTCGCAGACGAGTGGGATGGTCAGCGGGTTTGGGGATACGTCGTGTTTGGCTCAGGGCCAATTGAAGTAGCTGCCTTTGACGTAAACGAATGAATCAGAGACTGACAGACGATGAACAAGGAAAGAAGCAGAGAACTGGTGTTTGGAAGTGTGAGATGCCCGGGATTTGTCAGGCTGCATGCCCCACGTGGCTGTGTATGTAGTAGTTTCTTCGACTTTTTGTCGCCCAAAGTTGACCCCAAGAAAGTGCTGTACGTGTTCGTTTGAGCTTGGAGCTTGACCAATGAGATGGCCCACCCTCGTTGGCCTCGCGCAGACAAGGCCGAATGCGCTAACCGTTTGTGCGCTTGGTGGCGGTGCGGGGCTAAAGTGCCTGGAAGGGCCTGGAAGGATGCCGGGAAAACCTGTGTGTTGGCTTGGAGGTGCCTGTGGCTGGGGATCCGCCTGCTAATAAAGGCCAACCGCAAGATCATCCCCGCCAATCCCGTCCTGGCTACATAGCAGCGAATAGCCACAGGTGGCTTATTAGTTAGGTTCGGCAGAGAACTCTCTCGGGAGTAACCGAACAGTACTGCTTGTACTGCTTAACGTAGTTGCGGACGAACGAAAAATATGCGAGTTGCTAGATGTGGCAGAGATCCCCATGCAAGATGCATCAATACTGGTGGGTAAGGTGCCTATTTGTAAATGCAGCTGCACCTGCATCGCTGCCTGGCCGACCCTAATACAGCGTCTTCCTTCCTTGGCCACCAACCACCAGCGCCTTCACATCGTCTCTCGGGGCAGCCCCCCGACGCCCCGTCCTCATCGTGGCCGCCAGTTGCATCACCCATCCCCTGCAGTCTGGGACGCGCAATTTTGGCTTTTTGGGGCTTTTTTGAATCTTGTTTTTCTTGGGCGACAATGACTTCTTCAGACTCCTCACTTGAGAGCCCCTCAGACGAAACCAAGCCGTCCAGTGAATCCTCCCTCGAAGAACGGTGCCACTGCAGCTTTGGCCAAGACTGCGAACCGCAATCAATTGCATTACCAGAATCAACGGATAGCGAAGATTTCTATCAAGACGCATTGTCTCGACTCAGCTCTGACAATGCAAGCCAAATTGTTACCATGCAACCCGTTCGCAGATTCTCAAGATGGATGTCCTCTCTCCGTCGACGCACCATCCAACGGCACCTTCTAGCTGCTGAAAAGCCTGCCTTTTTAGTTGACCTGAATGGGAGGCCACAGCTTATTCATCGGGATTCTTCATCTGGCTCTTCTTTTGGATTCGTGGCGGGCGTCAAAAGTGCCACTGTCAGTATATCAAGCACAAGGATCGCAAGATCTAGTGGGCGATCTATCCGCACGCCGATGGGGAGATCCTCGGAAGAGAGCACAGGACGTATCACGCCAGCAGACAGGTCTTCCATCGAAAGAGCCCTTCGTCGCCGACGTATACTCGAGGAGCTGATCCAAACAGAAGAAAGCTACGCGGGAGATATCCGGCTGTTGTTGAATGTATATGTGACGACGTTTGCTGCCTGTCCCGACCACGAATCACTCCGCTTAGCCCTCCACCGAAATCTTTCCGAAATTCTTCGCTTGCATGACGAGATTTTGGGAGAACTCCACCGCGCTGTCCCGTTTTCTGAATATTCATACGCCGATTCTGGGCCCAAGGGCCACCGACGATGGACCAGCGTTGACCTTGGGCGAACAGACATGCTAGCTGATCCCCAGACTGCTGCCCAAGTGGCCAAAATCTTTTCTCAAAAGGTGTGTATCCAAAGTCAACTCTCAATTGGTACTTTTTTAATTTAAAAACAGGTCAAGCGATTTTTTGTGTATGAAGAATACGGGGCGCGACACGAGAAAATGCTCCAGAGTATACCAGACGCGAGCCAAAGTCGCAAGGGCATCGAGGCCTTGGCGTCTACACTACACCCCATCAGACAACGTGGAATGAGGAAGTCGTATACCCTTCATGACTTGATGATCAAAGTAAGTATGGTCTAGAATGTTTCCCGGACAAAACTGACCACCCAGCCCATACAACGCGTCTGTCGATACCCGTTACTGTTTGCCGAGCTCCTCAAGAACACACCTGTGTGTGACTGCCCCAATTCTCACATGGAGGTCGAGGGCTCTCTTATTCGCCTCCGTGAAGCCACCTGCATTATCAACAAAGCTACCGATGATGCAAGCACCAAAACCCGGCTAGCGCAGACATGGATTTTGCAGGACCGACTTGCCTTTCCTGGAAGGGTATGTCTTCAGTTCTCTTCATTAGCCCGCGCTAATAATTCAGCAATTGGATTCCTCTTCAAAGAGCCACATTCGTTCATTCGGCCAAATTCGACTCTGCGGGGTGCTGCATGTCTGTTGGCAAGGACCCCGAGCTATCGATGGCATGTACATGATATGTCTGCTGTACAGAGATGTATTTTGCCTTGCCACTGCGGGAAAAGTGGATGCCGTTTACGATATTAAAGCGTGTATCAATATTCACAAAGCTAAACTGGAAGAGACTGATGATGGACGAGGTAGGTTCTTTCCCTCCGAAGGTGGCTAGAGCTAACTTTGTAGGCTTACAATGCCATACTGCCCCCTTTTCTTGGAAAATAGTATTTGAATGCGATCATCAACTATACGAGCTCATTATGACGGCCTGTACAGCACGGGAGGAGTCAGAATGGCGAGAACACCTCGCAAGCAGCGTCAAGGACGAGGACGAAGGCGCTGTCGATGCATACACCACTTTAGCATTAGATATCAAGGGCTTTGGATCCGTTTTTGGAAAACCAGGTAAATAGCTCATGCGGAGATTGGTGACCTGTGCTAACGAGTCAGGGTCGGTTGCACGGCGCATCTCGATTCATCGCGCTACTACGCTGGGTGCGAGACTGCCGCATAACCAAGTCATTTTAAAGAATACAAGTGTCAAGGATAGCACTTCGCCTACATTGCCGATTAACCGGTCCCAATCTCTTCTTTCAACTCAGAGAGCTCTGGTTCTCGCTCCTGAGCGCAGCGAGAGGGCCCGCCTCGAAGTGTTGGTGTCGGATGTCTGGAGCCGTTAGGCGCTGCCCTTTCCCGGCATGTCAACACGATTGCGGCCAGAACAGCTGATGAGGGTGTCGGCGTCGTCTGTTATGCGGAAATTTGGGGCATCAGGATTTGCGAATTCCATTAGTAGAAAGGCTAGCGGGACGAAGCAACGAGCACGGTCAGATACCTTTTCGAGAGACGGTGATGCGAGTGACGAAGGCGACGCCGACTCGAAATCCAGTCTCAAGCTAAAGCTGAATGAGGGAAAAGCATACAGGTCCAGGTCGCTCAAGACGCGGTTGGGTAGGTCGGACAAGACAGCCGAGAAGAGCGTTCGGGGTCTTTGGCGGGGAGAGCGGGACTGCAGCGGCCGTAGTCTTCGTGGCATCTTTGGATGAGGTCTGGAGCTGGAGCTGGAGCTGGAGATTTGAACAGATGAACGTTGTACACTAGCGAATTAGAATAGCAATTAGCACGCCGAGGAGCGGGTATTCTCCGCGGCTTCTTCCACCATCTTCTACCCAGAAAACATGGCTGTGCGGGACAGGGGTCTGATTGATGTACTTGACCCTGGCGAGTGAGGGTACTGTGAGGATGATGACGTTGTGTTGCAGGCAGTTTGAGCAACCTGAGCGGTGCAGTCCTTGGCGGGGCTGTCAGGTAAGTATCTCAGAGGCTAAAATGTGTGCAAGGGTACTTGTCCTAATGCAGTGGTGGCATCTCAGGGTCCCACCCTAGCAATCACGATGACGTCGACGCTTGGAAGGAGCTCCCCCGCTCGAGCAAGCTTTCAGCTCTATAAATGCATCTTGTTGCCGGCAGGTTTAGCAGTTTCTTCATCCTATTCATCAATTCCATCCCTCTTTTCGTCTAGTGTGCGAGCTAAACAATCATCTCCCACATTATCTTACCAACAACCTACAAGTACCAAACACGGCATTATACCCCAGCGTATCACGCGACATCCCTCAGCAACAACACCGTCAAGATGACTCGCGGCGAAACCCTCCAGACCAAGTGCCACTACAAGGGCAACCACGACGACTTCATCATTTTCATTGATGATGTCGAGACGTACAACAAGTGGAAGACTGACAAGAGCATTCCCATGGCTCACTTCATCTCTTCGTTCAAGATCTTCGTCACCAACAAGTAGGTCTCGGGAGTCCTCAGCCTTAGACTCACATGCTAACGGGGTTTTCTAGGCATGGCGCCCAGGGCCAGCTCGACGCGGCCCCCAACAACATTCTCGCCACCGAGTTTGACACGGAGAATGAGGATGAGGTGATTAAGAAGATTCTTGACAAGGGAAACCTGCAACAGTCTGAGGTAAGACTTTCAATAAAATAAAAGGCAAGAAGGAACGTGGAACCGGACTGACTCTCTTGGTAACAGATGCCAGCGCGCCAAGGACAAAAGAACGACTCCAAAGGCGCCATGACCGCTCACTAGGCGACAGTAAACATGAGAGCCCGTGGGGCGAGGCGTCTCTATAGACGGTTGGGGAAATGCTGGCGAGGTCAGTTGTTTTGTAGGAGGGGCTAAATAATGTATTTTTATGATGTTTCCACATTTAGGCGCGTGATGAGCGTGTGCAGCGCTTGTGCTACATTCGACTATGCAGTTGCGTGGAAGAAATAAAAGCAGCGATTAAGATGACAAGGGGATTCATTTGTCATAAAAGATGGGTGAGCAACGATGAGGCCAAGCTTTGCGGGCCGCGCTAACGTGGTTGGCATGATTGTGGTGTGACGAAGTTGAGGCAGGGCTTGTTTCAAGTAGGCGCTGAGAGCGGAGTATAGTCCAACTGTCAGCAGGTGACGGAAGAGACGGGAGTGGTCACGCTGCTGCTGAAACGGTGACGAGGAAGAGAAATAAAGAAGATAGATAGAGAGAGAGGAGAAGAGAGTAAAGAGGCGGAGAAATGAAGAAAATTTTGGTTTGACCTGTAGGCAGGTCTCACGCTGTAACTGTAACTAGGTAGGTAGGTACACTGCTCGCACATTTGCCGTCTACAGATACGCCCAAGACTCGGCAAGAGTTGCCCGCTATCGACCAGAAAAGTAAAACGCCGGGAAAATGCAAGATCCTTGATAAATTGGACAACAAGTCCAAAAAGGTTGTATAATTGTGAAACGCATTGAAAGCCATAGTCAAAAGATGTTGAAAACAAAATCATGCTCGTGAGAGGCCGTTGCGCGGCATGCGCTGGGGCAGCGTCCAAGGTTTGGCGCAAATAATCTGAAGGAAGAAGAAAGGGTGTTAGTCTTGGCAAAAAGAAAGAAGAAGAAGAAGAAGAAGAAGAAGAAGAAGACGTACCTCGCCTTCACTATAAGCCCAGAAATAGGCGCCCATGCCAATGAGGTAGTAAATGGCCGGGTTGGTGGACTGGTACATGAGAACCGAGGCGAGAATGGTGAGAGGTAGGAAGATGAGGCGGAACTCGAGGGAGCGGTGCAGGCTGCTGCCGGCAACGACGCCGAGGGGCCATTCGAGGGCGAGCATGCCGATGCCGAAGAAGAGGTTGAGGAGTTGGAGGACGGGGATAGGCTTGACGGCGCCGTCGAGGTTCTTGGTGGCAAAGTCCCAAAAGATTTTGGGCCAGAGGAAGCCTTCGACAGCAGCGGCGATTTGGTCTATGGTGGTGTGTGTTAGCTTTCATATTTGTCTCTCTCTCTCTCTCTGTAGAGGTTCTCTCTCTCTCTGTAGAGGTTCTCTCTCTCTCTGTAGAGGTTTGATTCAAAGGTCCAACACTTACAGGTAGCTGCCGTCAGCATAATCAGGCGTGCCCAGTGGTTCTTGATGAGTCTGCCCATGTTGGAATATAGCAATTATAAAACGATTTCCAGCAAATGACCCAAAAAATAACAAGGCGTAGTAGCGAAATCGACCAGGAAAAAGAA